GTGATTTCCCTTGCTTGTCTCTAATCTCTGGGCGGGAGATGGTGGAGGGCCCCCCGCTGAGAGAGCCAACTGTGGATATCCGATTTTTTTTCACTCATCTACCATCCGGAGGCTTTCTGCCATGTCATTAAATGTTTTTGGAAATATACGTTTATACGTGAGGATATAAATTTTACAGATATTTTGCAAATTATATACCATAATTTTTTTAGTCATTCCTCTATTGTTGAACATTTAATTGCTTTGTGCTTTTTTTAAAAAGTATTTATGTGTTTGAGAGACAGAGAGCTCCTATCTGCTGGTTCAGTTCTTCAAATACCTGCAGTGGATGGCGCTGGGCCAGGTCAAAGCCGGGAAAGAACTCAGTCTGGGTCTCCCACATGGAAGACAGGGGCTCGCCCACCTGAACCATCGCCTGCTGCCTCCCAGGGTGTGCATTAGCAGGAAGCTGGAATCCAGAGAGATGGCATTCCAACCAGCTTAACCACTAGGCCAGGCCAGATGCGTACCCAGTTTTGTTTGCAATTTGTACTCTTGTCAGTAACTAATAGGAATTTTCTCATATACAAATCTTTGATCTTGTGAATGCTGAAAATGTGTGCTCTCCACTTTTGAACTCCCCTCCGTGTCGAGAGCAGGAGCAGTCTCACATATGGCCCTTAATAAAAAACTTGTTAACTTCACTGATGGCCCGGATCCACTTGCATTAGGGCCCTGTAAAACCCGTCTGTTTGAAATGAAGCCATAGGAAATCATAAAAGTATGCCAAATCCAATTAGCATCCAGCCCGAGCCATTCCCTCTATAAACAGGCATCTCACATTTTGTAATATTCAACTTCTGAAATGCTATTAGCAGGGGCCATTAAGGTACAGGAGAATCAAAACACAGTAATAATTAAAAAAAAAAAAAAAACTTTGCAGTGAATGTATTGTATCTATTATTTATAGTCCAGCAACAGAGCCCCATTTTCAGAGACTGTCCTTTCAAGAGGAGACAGAGATGACAGAGCCAAGATGACTCAAGGTTTCCTGCCCTGAGGAGCTGGAATTGGTGACTGGGCGACTGGGCCTGTCTCTCTCTCTCTCTCTCTCTCTCTCATGTTCCCAAATAGCCAGTCTCCTGCCCTTCAGCCCTCTGGGTCCTGGAACACCCAGATACAGCGTCATAAATTCCGTGGTAGCAAATGCTCCTGTTCAACCCTATTTCACTTCCTTTTCCTCTTCTTGGGCAGACGGGAAGACCACATTTCCCAGCTTCCCTTGCAGTTAGTTCAATTGGGCCACAGGGAGAGGTGATGGAGGCCATTTCCATACTTGGTCCCTAGAAACGCACAGTTCCCTATCCTCTTTCCCTTCTGCAGTGACGCAAGAGGCCCTGTGTTCACAATAGGGCCACTGTAGGATGGAGGGAAACTTTTTTTTTAAGATTTATTTATTTGTGAGGCAGAGTTACAGAGAGAGCAAGCCTCCATCCGCTGGTTCACAATGTCTGGAGTGCCTGTAGGCCAGGAACTTCCTCTGGGTCCCTGACATGGGTGGCAGGTGCCCAAGGACTTGGGCCATCTTCCACTGCCTTCCCAGGCACACCAGCAGGGAGCTGGATCGGAAGTGGAGCAGCCAGGATTTCAGCTAGCACCCACATGGGATGCTGGCACCGCACGGCTTCATCCACTACGCCACATCTCCAGTCCTCCTTTTCTCCTTAATAGCATTTTCCTCCCTTCCTGCCATCAAACAAATGCATCTTGCAAGAACAGTGCGTACAGATTTGGCAGTTCAGTTTCCCAGAGTACAGCTGCATCAGCACACATCTCCCCAATTTAAAACCACACCTCTCGGCTCAGTGCTGCTAACTGTCTACATAATCTCAGTCACACGTATGGGAGTGAAGCATGGACAGAATGTGCTTAGCCTCTGGACGTCATGCCTGTGCCCTGGAAGAGGGGGCCCTTTGAAGGCCAATGGGCATCTCAGGCTGCCCAACTTACTTGTGGCGCCACCTAATTGCTTTTCTCACAGTTCAGATGCTGTCATTCTTGGTTTTACGACTATTACTGGAATCTTACATAAATGGTTTGGGAAGAAGAGTACTTATCGGTCAAGTACATTCCACCTGCCCATGTCTTTAGAATACACCATACTGAAAAGTATTTAATACAGGTATGTCATTTAAATGTTTTGGAAAAGATATTCTCCCAATAAATTACTACCATCTAGCCCTTATGTAGGTGTATCTTATTCCTGATCTTCATGAGATCCATAAGGTAAGAGTCACCACTCTTTCATAGAGGAGGAACCAATCCTCAAGTTGACTTTCTTAAAGTCAGTTTTCACACTGGGCAAGGGCAGATGTGAGACGAGAAGCCAGGTCTGTGCAGTTTCAAAGCTGTGCTTTTTGTGATCAGTATGCTGCTCTCTGCTGAACCAGGCTGATGGTGTCTGTGTACCGGGTCCTATTACGTACCGATATCATTCAGATGCATATAATGGAGTCCCCATGTGTTGTAAAGTGGCTAGAAGGTTTTTACAACTGTGTAGGGTTTGCTTGGAATGACATGGCATCCAATATGGCATTCACAAAAGCACTTTTGGAAATGCCAGAAAATATATCTCAAAGACAGGCTATCTTCATCTAGTGTCTGAACTAGAGATAAATAGAGGCTCTGTGTGATGGTAGTTTAAGAAGCTGTCATCATGATGATCTGTAGATAAAACTTCTGAAGTCTCCAAATATATGGGTATCGAACCCACGCATGCTGATACAGGACGTGGGCATCCTAACCAGTATTTTAACTGCTAGTCCAAATGTCCACTCCTTGTAAGTATTTACCCTTATTTCTTTCATTCTTTGTACAAAAAGGAGGAAATATTTTGTACATTAACTCATGCCTCACTTTTTTCACTTACTATATATCTTAGAGACCTCATCATGTCAGTTTGTAAAGATATCCTGTTCTGTTTTCCAGTTGCACTGTGTTCCATCACATGGATATACTATAACTAATTCCACTAGGAACCCTGGGTTTTTTTTTTTTTAATATTTTGCTATTACAAGCCAAGCTGTAATAAATGACCTTTATTATAACCTTATTATGATGAGGGGTCATCCCAGAGTTTATGGAAAAGTTATATCACAAAAAAAACTATGCATGGATGTCAAATTTTTGCACCAAAATAAGCTTATTAATTTCATTTTCCCACAAACTTTCTGATGTACCCATGTACATTCAGGAGCATCTGCAGGGCAAATCCAAAAAGTTGGATGCAAGGGAGCCCCTATTTATAACATATGGGACTCGACACAAATCTCCCTTGTGGGGCCCCTGCCCTTTTATGAGGCTTTAATTTAAAAGTGATTTATAGGGGGACAGCACCGTGGTGCAGGTTAATCCTCTGCCTTTGGCGCTGGCATCCTATATGGACACCAGTTCTAGCCTTGGCTGCTCCTCTTCTAATCCAACTCCGCTGTGGCCTGGGAAAGTAGTGGAAGATGGCCCAAGTGCTTGGGCCCCTGCACCCACATGGGAAACCAGGAAGAAGCACCTGGCACCTGGCTCCTGATCGGCACAACTCCAGCCGTTGCGGCCACTTGGGGAGTGAACCAATGGAAGGAAGACCTTTCTCTCTCTCTGTATGTAACTCTGTCAAATAAATAAAATCTTTCAAAAACCCCCTGATTTATAAATGTCCCCCTCCCCAAGATGCATTTACTCGGAAGACAGAGGGAGAAACAGAGCAAGAGATCTTCCACCAGCTGGTTTTCTCTGCAAAGGGCTGCAACAGCCAGGTGCGGGCCAGACCGCAGTTAGGAGCTCGGAACTCTATCCAGGTATCATAAAAGGGTATCAGGGGGACCGGCGCCGCGGCTCACTAGGCTAATCCTCCGCCTGCAGCGCAGGCACACCGGGTTCTAGTCCTGGTCGGGGTGCCGGATTCTGTTCCTCTTGCCCCTCTTCCAGGCCAGCTCTCTGCTGTGGCCCGGGAGTGCAGTGAAGGATGACCCAAGTGCTTGGGCCCTGCACCCCATGGGAGACCAGGAGAAGCACCTGGCTCCTGCCTTCGGATCAGCGCGGCAGCCATTAGAGGGTGAACCAACGGCAAAGGAAGACCTTTCTCTCTGTCTCTCTCACTGTCCACCCTGCCTTTCAAAAAAAAAAAAAAAAAAAAAGGGGGTATCAGGGACAAACATGCTTGGGCTGTCTCATCTGCTGCTTTCCCAGGCACATTAGCAGGGAGCTGGAGCTGGATCAGAGCAGAGACTGGAACAGGCACTTGGATGTCAGATATGGGCATCTCAACGACAGGTTATCCTACTGTGTCGTGAGGTTGTAATTTAAAGCTCTGCTAGCATAGTTGTGTTTGTTTCACGAGCCATACTTTTTAAAGATGATTTTTTAGAAGATTATTTGAATGAAAGGCAGAGTTACAGAGACAGAGAGGCCTTCCACCTGTTGGTTCACCTCCCCCAAATGGCCGCAATGGCCGGAGCTGCGCCAATCCAAAGCCAGGAGTCTGGAGCTTCCTCCAGGTCTCCCACGCAGGTGCAGGGGCCCAAGAACCTGGGTCATCTTTTACTGCTTCCCCAGGTCATAGCAGAGAGCTGGATCAGAAGTGGAGCAGCCGGGACTCGAACCAGTACCCATATGCACTGCAGGCAGTGGCTTTACCAACTACACCACAGCGCTGGCCTCCCTGAGCCATATTTAGCCGGTTAGGTAGACACAGCATTGACAGAGTGCTGTACTCAGCCAGAGCTGGTGTTCTGTCTGGCACGTATGAAGGAGTCCGTTGCAGATGGATGTGCTGATGGACGAAGGATTCTAAGTCAGATAATGAGAGAAGTGAGCAGTAAAGCAATGGAGAGGAGGTCCAGGTATGGGAGTCTAGTTTATTCCACTTCATAAACACAGATCATAGATCAGCCCCGTCTCTGCTGGGAGATTCCACACAGGCTTGACACCGGCTGTTTCATCAAGAAGCAAGCATGACAAGGCTGGGGTAAATATTTCTCAAAGTTTATTCTTATTGGAGTCTACAACAATTCAAAGGTGGTAGACACCCACTTTAAATGGGTGTTCTATACAACAGATACATGGTAAGGCGAGAAAGCCCAATTACTGAAAGACTTTTAAACCTCTATTTCATTTATTTGGCTATGCCATTGACAGTCTATGGTGTGGAACTTTTTGATGTCTCCCAGAAGCATCATTACTTTAATTTTTCATTTTATCAGGCCCTAAGAAACTTTATTTCCCAAAGAAAAAATGGCTGGTGGGCAACAGTGAAAAATGTCCTGAAAAGGTTATCTATATGTAAATGAAGTGTCTCATAAATTAGTGAAGAAGTCCAGAAAACAAGAGTTTCTATGGTGTATAAAAATAAATACTGTAGATTTACATATAAGACTGATAATAAATTATTTTTGTGGGCAAATAAAAAGAAGTCACCTTATTGGTTACACGCATATGGGAAGGCTTTCAAAAGGTAATACTTTTTAAAAAGGAATCTACATCCCTTTCATAGTTAATTCAGCTAATCAGTCACTAATTTTCCCTTTTGTCCTTACACACCTTTCAGACTTTTTGTTGCTCTAACCAAGGTTGAACAGCAAAAGACAAAGGCCAACACTTGGACTGTAATACTAGTTTTGTTATCACTTATAGCAAATGGCAAGATCTGAAAAGAACGGTGACAATGATATGTTCTATGAAACAAGGCATGATTCTTTATTCCAAAGATTTAATGTGTAAAAAATGAAAACTATTTTATAAAATATTCTTGTTTTCCTTGATCTTAGAGTACAAATAATTTAGAGTTGGCTATCCTTACTGTGAAGATAAACAGAAGTTTCTCAATCTGAAATCTGAAAGATATAGTGATACTCTTTGATTTTTAGAAAACTCTTCTTCTCCAATTGGTTTCTCTCTGTGTACTTAGAGGATCACAGATGTATATAACAAGAAGCCTGGCCCAGAAGACTGGACTTTAGGGACTTCACAACACAGTCACTTTGCAGCTATACATATTACAAAAGTAACGACTCCGAGTTTCAGTTTTCTGTGCTGTGAAATAGACAGGAATACCAGTGACATAATGTGTCCGAATGTGCTTCAGAATATGCACTTTACCAGTTGTTGGTTGGTTAATGCTTTAATGATGTAACTTGCTCTGCTTTTTTTTTTTTTTGGTGTTAAAACAGAAATCATTGGGAAATGTAAATGATTGTAAATCACACAGACCAAATATAAATAAGTGGTTTACAATAAAATCAAAGACCTCACTCATGGATTTCATAAAAAATTAAAAAAATCTTTGCAGCTAAGTATTCATCAACTTAAATGTAACCATTCTTTCTTTTATAAGAATGTTCACTATGTGACATTTAACTCTCCAAAGGAGAAATTGTAGAATTAGTTCAGTTCTCTGCCTTAAAGCTTAATTATCAGGCAGAATGATGGAATAATTAAAGTTAAAAAAATAAGCAAAAATATATAACTCTAAACTACAGCCCCTTTGAAGAGCTTAGAAAGAATACTTCCAATATATTTATGAACAACCTACTGTTTATATAACACTAACACAACTGAAACCATGATCAAAGTTAATGTGCATGTTTTATTCTTCCCTTTTCAGTTTTAAATTATTAAATATCTAATGGTTTTTAGAGATTGTACCGCATTTTAAGAAATGAACTATATGTGATATGAAAATGCTTATCTACTGAATAACCAAAGTGTTGGTTATTTAGCATATTGGGCCAAATTTTAGAAAAATAACTGAGAAGTGGAACAGTGTATATGCTAGTGTCCCATATGCAAACAGATGATAAGTGTAGCCATGAACAATAAGCGAGGGAACTCACCAACTTCTCTTTTAAAAGGGTAAATGACAGGCTTCCTTAAAAGTACAAACAAATCACTTAGTCATTCTCAATCTTAAAACTTGATTAAACAGTTTTTGTAAATAAGAAGGAACTGTTAATTACAACATAGGTAACAAATACTAAATTCTGGTTGGCAGCAACAGTTTTGGACCAAATGATGAAAGCATACAAATAAAACCTGTTTAAGAATCACCCTATAATGCTGATGTTCCAGCAGCGCTACCATCTTTACTATCCAAGATTTCATTTTTTAGCAAAGGCCTCTCTCTCACACACACAAAATTTCTCATATCATTTATTTCTACAAATGCAGCTTAGGGTATCTTCTGCTTTTGACTATCAGGTTGTTTGAAAAATACCAACTTTTTATTCAACAAATCAATAATTTAAAATGGCTTACTGCTTTCATTAATGATCTCTCAAGATCATTCTATGTTTAAAGGGCAGCCTGCCAAGAAGTTGGCAGAGTTGAAATTGAGTTAGCGTTAGCACAGGGTAATTTTAGACGCAGGTAAAATGAGTTTACCTTGTGCTCAGCAGAATTATTTTGGTCAGTTTAGGAACAAGTAGTTGGTGAATTTATCCTCGGTGAGCACAGAGGTAAGCGTACTTAAAAATACTAAAACCTTGGCTGGCACCTTTCATGTGACAGTCTGCTTTACAGTGTAACACACCTGTGAGACGAAACAGCTACACTAAGAGCTAGAGCACAGTTTCCTCTAACCTTGCGTTACCAGTTGGACAATAAGAAAGTACATTTCTGCTGTATCTGTGGTTTTAAAATTATTCATTGTCAAACATTCAAATTTTTTCATATTTAATTAATTTCAAAGTTGGAACATGTATCTATGTCTATGTCAAATGATAATTTATTCTACAAAAAGCAGCACAAATAATATTCATTGTGGTTTCAACACAAATTCCTTAAAAAAAAAGTTAAGGCCATTTAATTGAATCTCAGGGCCAACTGAAGATTACCCTGGCAAAAATCAAATTACTGATTTAAGAGTTTTGAAAGAGAGCCAGAAGTGGTTGTCTTGTGTCTTCCTCCTTGGTAATTTGGAAGCAGTTTGTAGGATTGATTAGTCTCCAACATCTCCATCTCGATCTCCAATGAGCCAAAGAAAATGAAAACTTAAGGCCAACAGAGCTGTCCCAAGCAGATCACCCAACGCCGTTAGGTAAGGGATAGAGAAACTATCCGGGTCCTTTCCTTTCCTCCAGAAGTGGTGGACCATCCAGTCAGCAATCCACAGCAAGGTAAATACCTAGAAGAGAATGCCAGAGATTACTTCTGTCACAGGGACATTCCTTGTCCATTAAACACGGCCACGAGCAGCGAGCAGCACAGACGTCTGGCCTAAAAGTTACGATGCACCTGGGATGCCTGCATCCCTTATCAAAGTGTCTGCATTTGAGTACTGGCTCTCCTCCTGATTCCAATTTCCTACTAATGCACACCCTGGGAGGCAGCAGATGATGGCTCAAGGAGCTGGGTTCCTGCCACACCACGTGGGAGACTTGGACTGAGCTCCTGGCTGCTGCACTGGGCTCAGTCCAGTGTAGGTGATACAGGCATTAGGGGAGTGAACTAGTGGATGGGAGCCCTTGAGTGCTCTCTCTCTCTCAAATAAATAATAAAAACTTCAAAAGATATATTAAAAACATGGCCATGAGCCTAAGCCATTGATTTCTGGAAGGAACAGCATGTGTTTAAATCAAGAGCCATGCTTGAAAAGAATACTAATTGACAGGAACATCTTCATTTCACAAGAAAAAATAGCACGTATGTTTGTAACTCTTAAAATTTTTCTTTAGTTTTTCATATATATCTTCTAATCCTTCTGTTTTAATAGCATTGCACAGTTTCCAAGCATACTGTTGTATGTTATGTTTATTTTCTATTTGATAAACCTGTGAAGAAGGAAGATGACAAATGAAGATAGGAATAACAATTAAGGAATTATTTAACAGTCTCCCACTGAAGGTTTATCAGATGAAATAAAGATGGAGAACTGATCCTTCACTTAGTGATCATAGGGCCAGTGTAGCTTGTCGAGCATAGTTTCAGAGCAATGGTAAGGACAGTAACCAGACAGTAAATGCATTTAGAAGGGACTGATTGTTCACAATTGATCACACTGATAGGTCTAAGAGTCAAAGGGATCACACAAACAAGACTAGTGTCTGCTAATACTAACTGATGGAATCAAAAAGGGAGAGAACGATCCATCATGGGAAGCGGGATACACAGCAGACTCATAGAATGGCAGATGTCCTAAACAGCACTCTGGCCTCAGAATCAGCCCTTAAGGCATTCAGATATGGCTGAAGAGCCCATGAGAGTATTTTAGGCATGGAAAGCCAAGACACCCTGGGGAAAAAAAAAAAAAAAAAAAGGAGACCTAAATGGAAGATCTCTGCAAGTGAGATCCAAGTGGAAAGAACGGGACCATCAAAGAAGGAGGTACCTTTCTCTGAAGGGAGGAGAGAACTTCCACTTTGACTATGACCCTGTCGGAATAAGATCAAAGTTAGCGAACTCAAAAGGCTTCCATAGCCTTGGCAATTCATGACTAGAGCCTAGGGAGATTAGTGACACCATAAACAAGGGTGTCAAATTGTTAAGTCAACAACAGGAGTCACTGTGTACTTACTTCTCATGTGGGATCTGTCCTTAATGTGTTGTCCAATGTGAAGTAATGCTATAACTAGTACTGAAACAGTATTTTACACTTTGGGTTTCTGTGTGGGTGCAAACTGATGAAATTTTTACTTAATATATACTAAATCAATCTTCTGTATATAAAGATAATTGAAACTGAATCTTGATGTGAATGGAATGGGAGAGGGAGAGGGAGATGGGAGGGGTGCAAGTGGGAGGGAAATTATGGGGGGGAGCCATTGTAATCCATAAACTATACTTTGGAAATTTATATTTACTAAATAAAAAAATAAAAATAAAAAAAAGAAGGGACTGATCTATACAGACACAGACACACAGGAGGAGTCAAAATATTTTTAAAGCTCTTCAAATAATAAGGTTTTATGTGTAAATAAATATTTTTTAGAATAACAAAAATATGAAAACTTGTGCGGCTTTCAATTTCTAGAACAGATGCTTTTTTTCTTTGATAAATTTATAGTAAGCCTCTGATTACATGGTAAAGTGAAATCATGTTATTGCAAAAATTAAAGGAAAAAAGGATTGAGGGAGGGAGGGAAGTATGATTATCTTCTTAAAATTGTACCTATGAAATACATGAAATCTATTTTTATATTAATTTTTTAAAATCATAAAAAGAGGATTCTCTAATATTTAAATCTCTGAAGCAATGAAAGGAATTTGAGATGGAATTCATTAATGTTCATTAGTTTCGGACAAGTTGACAAGTACAGCATAGTGGTTAAGAGTGCTTCTCTGGCCGGCGCCACAGCTCAATAGGCTAATCCTCCACCTGTGGCGCTGGCACCAGGGTTCTAGTCCCAGTCGGGGCTCCGGATTCTGTCCAGGTTGCCCCTCTTCCTGTCCATCTCTCTGCTGTGGCCAGGGAGTGCAGTGGAGGATGGCTCAAGTCCTTGGGCCCTGCACCCCATGGGAGACCAGGAGAAGCACCTGGCTCCTGGCTTCGGATCAGCTCGGTGCACCAGCCACAGCGGCCATTGGGGGGTGAACTAATGGCAAAGGAAGACTTTTCTCTCTGTCTCTCACTGTCCACTCTGCCTGTCAAAAAAAAAAAAAAAAAAAAAAAAAAAAAAAAGAGTGCTTCCCTGTCACCAACTATCTGGGGAGTAAACCAGAGGATGGAAGACCTTTCTCTGTCTTTCAATAAATAAATAAATCTTAAAATATAAATAAAAATAGAACAATCTAGAATAGAAAGTATCAGCATATACATAATTACTTCCAAAAGCGTCATGGAAAATGGAATCAAAAAAGTTTATTTTGGTGCAAAGAAATTTAAAATCCATGCATATGAGGGGTCTTCAAAAACTCAGGAGAAAAATACAATGGAAAACTATGCAGTGATTTAATAAAGCATGTTTCATCTATAATTAACATATTTAAATACATGTATACATGTTTCAGTATAAATGTATTTCTTACTAAGTATTGTAGTCAAAAACATTTGAAAGGAACTCTTCTAACATGTCCATCTTGAATGTTAGTTTCTATCTAACATGTAAATTCCCAGAAGGGGAGATCCAGGTCTTCTCTCTCTCTGATCCCTTAGCTTCTAGGAAAACACTTCCCATGATAAACTGGAAGCATGCTTTTTGCTGAAGTGGCTCCACCACTGAGTAACCGTGTCACTGTCAGTAAGTGAGAAAGCTTCTAAGTCCTAGTTTCCTCAACTCCACAAGTAAAAAATAAGTTACTAGGAACTTCACAGGTTGGTTACAGAAATGAAAAGGAATAACATACATAAAGGGCTAAACCAATGCCTACTTTGCAGTAAGTATTCTACAAATACTAGAGCCATTATTACTGATATATCATTTATTACACTTTCTCAGAATTTATGACTTTGGGCCAGTGCTGTGGTGTAGTGGGTAAAGCCACCACCTGCAGTGCTGGCATCCTATATGGGCACCAGTTTGAATTCTGGCTGCTCCACTTTCGATCCTGCTACGGCCTGGAAAAGCAGTGGAAAATGGCCCAAACTTGGGCCTCTGTACTTGTGTGGGAGACCCAGAAGAAGCTCCTGGCTCTTGGCTTCAGATTGGCTCAGCTCTGGCCATTGAGGCCATTTGGGGAGTGAACCAGAGGATGGAAGATCTCTAACTCTGCCTCTCTGAAACTTTGCCTTTCAAATAAAATAAATAAATTTTTAAAAATTGTTTTAAAAAAGGCTATTGGAATAGAGGTGTGAACACTGGTTTCTAACACTAGACAGCTACATGACTTTCCACCTCTCTGGGCCTTGGTTCCATTTCAGAATTAATGAATTTGTCTTCACATTACTCTAGCTCGGCGTCACAAAGCACAAAGGGATTGCTCCCCTTTGTGTCTGCCCCTCTCCCTCCCACATTTTTATCTTCATTGTATTTATTTATACAGTAAGCAGAGAATCAAGTTCCCTTCTTGTGCAATTTCTTTTTAGAGGTACTGTGATGACAAAGTTCCAACAAGTTTCAATTTACTTAAAAATTATTTTTGCACATTAAAAAATATATCAGTGTTTCCTTAGAACTCTGTGTGTAATAACTTACTAATAAGTATCAAATAGTTATTAATGCAACATGCTTTGTTTTAAAACTAAATGATCACTGGAGGAATGCATGCTTTTCACTGGGAAAACACATCAAAATCAAGCCAAAGGCAGAGTGTTTCTTCACATGGTGTTTATTTTTTATGAAATATGCATACCTTCTCTAGGTAAATATGCCTTCTGAAAAGCCAACTTTGTAACCCCGGCTAATTATGCATGTTCTCAATGTACCTCTTGGAATTTAAATAAATATGTAAAGTACAAGGATCTATATTTGATTTGGATGACATTGACTGCCAAGGCCAGCTGCTTCTTGGAGCAGGAGTAAACATTCCCCTGCATCAGCACCCCTTGATGCCTTGATCGCCAACAACAGCCTTGTGTGTTGAGTGAAGAAAGATGATTTCTTTAGCAGAGGAATGCTTAGAAACAGGATACAAATAAACCCCCAAATTAGCAAATTAGTGCTTCCCAACCCCTACCTTTACAAAGGTTGCATTCTTATCCCCTATAAAAATATGCTTCCCTAGTTTAGTCTTCAGGCTGGAATGCAGCATACTTGTTAAAATCTAATATTTAAATGTTTTTTAAGAATGATTTAGGATTATCAGTCAACTTCTGATGTTCAGATAAAAGCATCTTTTCTTTGGTCTGAACTATTTCTTTAAGTTGGCAGTGGGGGAAAGTGGAAAATGAATGGGCTGCAGAAAAGAAAAATACCATCTGATGTCCTTCTGTCTTCCTGGGTACTTTGGTACTGGGTATTGTTATCTCGATTTTCAGAGAAGCAAACTGGACACAGAAAGAGTAAGCCACTTGCCCAGCTACACAACTACTGAGTGGCACAAACTGAGGTGGATTTAACTCCAAAGCTCATGCTATTTCCCCCTGCATCATATTACCCCTGCCAGGCAGAGACAAAAAACAAACAAAAGAGGAGAAGAAAATGTTTTCCACCTGTAGACACCACAAACAAGCAAGCAAGCAAGCAAGCAGGCCACCAAAAAGAAAAAGAAAAAGAAAAAAAAAGGCACAACAAAACAACCCACTCAAAT